CCCCAAACCCCCAAATCTAACTAAAGCAGTGGTTCTCAACCTTCCTAATGCCGCGACCCTTTAATACAGTTCCTCATGTTGTGGTGACCCCCAACCATAAAATTATTTTTGTTGCTACTTCATAACTGTAATTTTGCTACTGTTAGGAATCGTAATGTAAATATCTGATATGCAGGATGTATTTTCATTGTTACAAATTGAACACAATTAAAGCATAGTGATTAATCACAAAAACAATATGTAATTATATATGTGTTTTCCAATGGTCTTAGGCGACCCCTGTGAAAGGGTCGTTCGACCCCCAAAGGGGTCGCGACCCACAGGTTGAGAACCGCTGAACTAAAGTTACTCTCAGGGCAGGGAAAAGGAGAAAATCCTGAACTGACTGCATTTAACCTGTAATTTCGGAATTTTACCCTGAAATGGTAAAATTACTTTTTATGCCATGAGGTAGAATGGATGCTTGAAAAAAACTAAATTCAGTTAAAGTTCATTTATTTTGTACACACCTGAAGCTGTGGTGAGTCACTCAGCAAATACCAACGAAGCCTGCAGGGAGCGCCAGGTGCCGACCTCAGCACAACAGCGAACACAGCAGCATCCTCAGAGTCTGCAGGTGTGTGTGTGGGGGGGAGACTGGCCTTCGCTGCTGGGAAGCAGAGGGGCAGGGCACTAGGGTGGGTCTGTGACTGGCAGGGGTGACTGAGCCCAGAGAATACTGGCCCCTCCCCACATTCAGCAGCGGGGAGGGTGCAGGGGTGGGGGGAGCAGTGATCCTGTGGATGGCTTTTCTGGATCCGAGGTGCTTATGGGCTGAACTCCTCTGCTGGACAAAATGTTTCCTGGAAATTTCTCTGATGTCAGTCTGAGAGAGGGGCCAGAACCCTGAAGGACGAGAATCAATGACTCGTCAGACACCCTGGGCACAGAAGGGCCATATCAGCATCTGCAACCACCCCTCCCCAAGTACACATATCAGATCTTCACGTATCCGTCCAAAGGCCTAGGAGACAGGCATCTGGAGCTCTCGGGGTTTCACCTGCAGAGACAAGGCCCAGGAAGCACCGCCGCAGCCATCCTGTGTGGCCCCTGAAAATGCAAGCACCCCAGATGCACAGAGAGGAAGGCGGGCCAAGAAAAATCCCAGGGACCCACCCCTCCCCGACCGTCTCTAACCCCTATGTTTTGCATTTTACAGTTTAGAAAACCACTTTTGCACTTGATTCTTATGGAAGCCCTGGAAGGTAAGTAGGGATACTCTGTGTGGCCATTTTACAGATGAGGAAACTGAGGCGCAGCAGAGGCAAAAGCTTGCCAAGGGCACGCAGCCAGCTGATGACAGACCTGGAACTAGAACCCAAAGCAGAGGTCTCCCTAGTCCAGTGATGGCGAACCTATGACACGCGTGTCAGAGGTGACACACGAACTCATTTTTTGGTTGATTTTTCTTTGTTAAATGGCATTTAAATATATAAAATAAATATCAAAAATATAAGTCTTTGTTTTACTATGGTTGCAAATATCAAAAAAATTCTATATGTGACACGGCACCAGAGTTAAGTTAGGGTTTTTCAAAATGCTGACACGCCGAGCTCAAAAGGTTCGCCATCACTGCCCTAGTCTGAGGTTCGCTCCACAGAGAAGTGAAAGGACAATAAGGGAGGCAGGAGACCCAAAACACAGGAAGCGTAGTTACAGGGCCCAGAAGCTCTCATCACCGAGGCCAGGGTCACCAGCCACCGGAAGCCTATGCCTGTGCAGGATTTAGTTGACCTCTGCTGCCACCACGTGGTGATTCTGCAGTTTACCAGCCAGGAAAGCCTTTGGTGACAGATTTTTTTTTATGTGTGGAGCAGCCGCTCAAAGGGACCCTGGGGTCAAAACAATTTTCATACCGAGTATAACATAAGATGGCATCTGCCCTTTTCACTCTCATTTTCCCACGAGTGTGCAATGGAGCTTTCCACAGGCTACGCGGCAACTGGCATCACAACAGATTGAAAGCAGAAGCGTATGGGGATCCGCCTGTCCTCTAGTTAAGCCAGAAGTTAGGGAGAATTGCAAAAATGTAACAGTGCAACTCTTTCATTATTTATTTTTGGGGGAAACATAGCTATTTTCATAAAAATGTTATTATTTTAACATGTAATAGGGTTGTTACGCTTTATATAAATATTTTTAAAATTCTCTTTTAATTTCTGGTGAATGTTACAATCTGCATAAACAAAAGTTCTCTATAATTTTGAAGAATGAAGGGGACCGCTGTTGAGAACTGCTGTTACCAGTGCCAACGGATGTTTGTTGGCACCAATTCAATGCCAACAAGAATCCCCTTTGGGGATGCAGTGAAGAAGGAAACTTTATTCAGTGCAAACGCGGCTGTGGAACAGCTGAATGGAACAGCTGAATGGCAATGCAGCCCGGCTGTGAAAACTGTAGAACACCTCTGGGGCCAGGGGTCCTGGGGCCAGGCCCCTCTCCAGCTAGACAGCTCTGCTCTGCCCATGCTGGCCGGCTTCACTCTGCTCTGGCAAAGCTTTGGTGTTTCAGCTCAGCCAGGGAGATGAAGCTTCATTCCTTTTTTTTTGAGAGAGAGAAACATCAATTTTTTGTTCCACTTATTTATACATTCATTGGTTGATTCTTGTATGTGCCCTGGCTGGGGATGGAACACACAACCATGATGTATGGGAAACAATGCTCCCACCAACTGAGCCACCCAGCCAGGGCCCCAGCTTCATTCTTATGTAGACAGAAATCCCTGCCCATGGTCCCTGATTGGTCCATCTCATGCAAATGAGGGCTCCAAGTCCTTGCAGTTTGATTGGCCCAAAAGGCACTGTCCTGATTGGTTAAAATAGCCACTCTGACTGGTCATAGCTGTGCAGCTCTGATTGGGTTGGGAAAGCCTCAATCCTACTGGTTGAAATAGAATTTCAGGAAACCTTTATAAGGGCTGGCTCAGATGGCAGAAACACAGTGCAGGCAGGCAGTTCAGCACAGGCTTCTCTGTGAAGTGCAGTTTGTGTGAGAGGCTCCATGCAGGAATGGCTGCTACGCTGTTTTTTGTTTGTTTTTAAATATGAGCCCAGTTCGTCACCAGGAGCCCTTCTTAGTAGACGTCTTCCTCACCCCCCTCAGGGTTCACAAAGGTAATGGTAATTGTTACTTTTTTCTCCGATACCAGGAATGCTCCCTGCTCATGGAGGTCAGGGTATCCAGGCTAAAGAAAAGCAGAGGCAGGACAGCCTGGAGGGTGGTGGTCAGACAGGAGCTGGTCCCGTGGGTTTGTTGGATACTCAATCATTCCTTCAACAAACATTTAAATGCTCACACGTGCCTGGTATTGGATGGGATGGGAAAATGGTTGGAAGTACGGGGAACCTGGGACAGAGCAATCAGAGGTGAGTCTGGAAGAGCAGCTCTGATGGGGATTGCCAAAGGCCTTCACTGACAGTTCAGGACTCTGTACATTACACAGGTGTCCCAACAACTTTCTCTTTCCCACTATGAAATGATGTTCCATGGGCTGGACAGCAGGGAGCAGTGTGGCCTCAAGATTATCAAATGGAACTGGAAGTACATTGGAGCCTCCGTTTCTCCGCCTGTGAACCTGGTCAGCAAGGCCTCTTTCTGTTTACCTCCTCCTCTCATAGAGCAGATCAGAGAACACCAAGAGGAACTGCGAAGGATTCTGACACCTGAAGAAGGTTGTTTCTTGGATCTCAGCCTTATCAGCGCGTCCAGCAGACGCCCTCTGCTGGCCTTGTGAACACACCACCACTTCCAAACAAACTGGGCAACCGGGACCCGCACCGGGAAACGGTCTCGTTGAGGCCGACTTACTAGTAAAAACACACTTTAGACCGTGTTAGAGAAAAGACCTCAGGTTCACTGGGAATGGACTAGATGACAGTGGACATCTCTTCACCAGTGTCCACAGTGCCTGCCCAGGACCAGTGATGCTGGGTGGGCAGGCCCACCTGTCCTGTCAGTAGAACCATACACCAGAATGGAAGTGCTGCTGTCCTCAACACAAACGACAGAGTCTGCACATAGTAGGTGCTCAACAAATGCTTGATGACCGGTGGAGGGATGGAGATTTGGACTGCAGCCTGCAGATCTGCCTGAGGGACCCGCCATTGCCAGGGGCTGTGAAGCAGAAAGACCAAGGAGGGCACACTGAGGGTTTGTTTCAAGGAGGGAACCCTTTGCTAGAGCATCAGGATAAACAATGAGGCTGAACACTTTCAACTTCTTTATGCCTTGAGCAGCGCTGTGCCTTTGGTGCTGGGTCTGGTAGGGCAGGGATTTCCAGAAACATGCTCTGAGTCACTCAAGGGCGGTGGAAGGGGGTGGGGAAATCACAGGGGGCTGGGAGGGAGAAAAGAAATCTAAGGATATTTTCACCACCAGGTTTTAAGCCAGGAATGGCAACTAGATTCCTTTGTATGTCACTTCTGACTGGCTGGTGGCTGCTCAGGGCACTGTGTTGAGGAGGACTCTGAAGCTGCATCCGGCTCCACAGGAGAGGCTCCCTGCCTGTTGTAGGCACGAAGAGTGGGAGTGACATCACGGACACGAGCAATGGCCTCCCCACATGGCTCGAGTGAGAAACACAAGGTAGAATCATGACATCATTCTGGAAACCGGGCTGTGGACAAAGTATTTTATTTTGCTTCATTTTGTTCTCCATGTGAAAATAAGGCCCAGAGAATGCCTACCCCACCCGCACTCAGCGCCCCCGCCTCTGGAGCGTGACCAGCACGTACCGCTGGCCGAGGGGGGTAGAGCGCCTACAGGGCTTCCTCTCACTCCGTTGCCCGTTCACCCGCCGCGCCCTCCCTGCCCACCTGAGGCAGCTGGGAAAAGGGAAGAGAGACTTCTCACCTGCGTGGAATGGCCTCTTCTCTGGTGACATCTACAGGGGTCTAAACAGGGGGAAGAGTGAGGGTGGCCTGTGTCTCTTGGAAGCCAGGCAGAAGCATCCGATACAGAAATGACCTGAAGAAGTTTTCATTGTTTTTATTTGGAAACTTAGAGACAACTCCAGCTCCTCTGCGAATTCCCAGTGAGTTTACAGCAGTCGTGGGAAGCAGGTCTATTTGGCCCCACTTTTTGCCAGGTGCCAGTGCAGATAAAAAATAGGTGGCGGTTTATCAATGGTCCAGCTGGGAGGGGAGGAGCAGAGTGCTTGCGATCCGAAAGAAGGGGTTTGGAGGTGAGCAGGTTCTGGAGAGGCCTCGCCCTGCAGGGAATGGGGCCCTGGTCCATGACGCCAGCCCTAGCCCTGGGGAAAAAGGAGGAAAGGTAAGGCTTTCATACAATCAGTCAGCAAGATCTAGCAGTCAAACAACCCACTTAGAGCTGCTTGGGCGAAGCAACAACTGGCAAAGTATCACCATGAGAACAGGCTGGTGGAAGCCTATGAGGTTGTCTGGGTTACAGTCAAACCTCGGTTCTTGAACGAACATCTCCCATCTTCAACAGTTCGCTTCTCAACCTGACAGCCCTCTCATGCTGATACCTGTATGATCAGTCAAACATTTCTCAGGCGACTAACAAAGGAGAGAATGCGTGAGTATGAGTCAGTTTATTGCTGAAGTGCATGTTGATAACATCTCAGGAAATTGTGCTGTGAATATTTGTGTGTTTTTGTTCTTATTGCTGCTTATTATTAATTATTAAATTTTCATTTTTTACTGTACATTTCATTTCCTTTTTGTTACATTTTCATTTACATTTCATGTCCTTTTTGTTTTAAAGTGTTTATAGATAAACAGTACATTAGGCATGTACTGTATATAAGTATTATATATTGAGAGTATTATGATGAGTGAAATAAGCTAGTCAGAGAAAGACATGATCTCACCTATAAGTGAAATCTAATGAACATAATAAACTGATGAACAAAATAGATCCAGAAACATGGAGGTATAGAACAGATTGACATCCCTGGGGGGGGGGGGGGTTGAGAAAGGGCAGGAGGAGACAGGAAGAGATTAACTAAAGGACTCATATACATATATGCATAACCAATGAACACAGACAATAGTGTGGTGAAGGTCTGGGGTGGGGTAGGGGCTGGGAGGGGGGTTAAGGGGAGAAAAATTGGGAGACATCTGTAATACTGTCAACAATAAAATAAAATTGTTAAAGAAAGAAAGATTAGTAGTAAAACGGAATCATTTGGGGGTCTGGAATGAATTAATTCAATTTACATGATTTCTAGTGGGGGGGGGGGGGAAGATTCGGTTTTCAAACAGCCTTCCAGAATGAATCAAGTTCGAGAACCAAGGTTCCACTACATTTGCATATTTTCAAAAAAATGGGTGGGAGGGAGACTGTATCTACTTCCCTTGAAAATGAATTTCCTGACATCGAAAGTAGACCAATGAGGTTTGGAGCACGAAAGTCATGGCAGGGGCAGAACAGCATTATTTCTGGAAGGTTCTGGATGTGGGGGTACAGGTGGACAGGTAGGAGTGGTGCCCTGGATCCACAGGCCTCAGACAAGCCCAAGAACTGACCGCTGACCAGTGGCTGGGCCCCCTTTCTATCACCAAAGGTCATCTCCCTCGCGAAGTCTGACTCAGGTTTCTCCGTACGAACAGATAAAGCCACATCATGAAACGACCACCTCGTGCTGCATTCACTTGGGTACAAACAGTCCGTGGGTCACTCTTGTGTTGACCTGGAGAGAACTACCTGAGCAGGTGGGTGAAAAGGAAGTGTGGGAGCCGGGGAGCGCTCTGTGTCTGGCTGTTAGGTGGAGGCTGGAGCTGACTGGAGCTGGCTGTGTCCTGCAGGCACTTGAAGACAATTCCAGGGATTCCCACTGCCTGCACTCGGCACTTTTGAGATCGTCACCATCCCACCACTTCCCTAGGTCTCTAATGACATCATCTCACTGTCGTCAGTTTAGACCATGAGGGAGGCACTGGTTTCCATGTGGTCAAAGCGTGGATAACTACCCTGGCCTGAACCATGACTGGCCCGAGATCTCAGAGCAGGAGGGTAAGTTCAAATCCAAGATCTGTTAGAGGGCCTTTGTGTTCTTGGGTCAGAGCAGGAGGCTTGTTTAAGATGAGGCTCCAGAAAAGTCACTGGAAACCCCCTCCCCAATTCCTGCTGGGTGTCCCAGCCCCCTCCCACCCCAGCTGACATCTGTGCCCTTGTATGGTCAGAGCACTTTCAGGAAGAATTTTTTCCAGTCAGGGTGTGTTTGTGGGGGGGGGGGGGGGGGGTCACTGTCCTGAATGGCCAAGTCTAAAACAATCAGGGTTTGGCATACTAGAAACTTCTTCCTTCCTCCTGAAGTAGCCAGTCACCAGGGTGGTCACAAGTGACAGATGGCGACAGCTCCGGCAAGCGTCCAGCCACTCTGGGAGCGGCCAGGCCTTGGCATTAAACCACCTTGCGGCTGAAGATTTAAGGACATGGGAAAACGGTCCTGGACTATTAAACAGGAGAGATTATAAAACATTGTGGGAAGTAGGATCCCTTTTTGGGGGAACACATAAAAAACACTTAGAAAATAATAGAAAGGTCTTGGAATTATAGGGTTTTTGTTGCTGTTCTTTCAGTTTACTTCTTTCCCCCCTAGTTTTCTAGAATAAAATGCATTGATTTTATTATAAATTTTTTTAAAAGGGGGAATGGCTAATATCTGAGCACAGCTTTAAGAACCAGGCCTCCCTTCCCTGCCTTGGACATAACCCTAGTACAGTAACTTGTCACCCAAGATGTTTAATTATGCAAAATGCATTGCTTCCCTCTGCCTTTTATAAGAGAGGGCAGAAAGCCAGGGAAGCTGTGAATGTGGGTGCTTTAAAGAGCTAAAAGCATTTGCTTTAAAGCCGTGTCTAGGGCTATCCCTGGCTTCCTCTAGCCAGCTCTTACTCTGCCCTGCCCTCCCCCTGGCCTGTCCAGGCGTCCCACAGGGCTCAGCTTCCTCAGGGGAGGGTGCAGGGAGGTTTGCTAAGACCTTCCTGATGAAGACCATCCTTCCTGAGAGAATGTGCGGTCACCACAGCCAACGCACATTGGTTTCTGGGTAACTAGAAAATTCAGCGACTTCCTCCACTTTGTCTCTGAGCTCTGCAAGGGACCGGTTTGGGGCAGGGGAGAAGAAACAAGAGAGGAAAAGAAGAGAAAGAACTGAGAAGATATGGAAGTTGATCATCCAGCCACTTGGTGATATTTGTGAGTGGCCATTCATGTGTCAAACTCTGTGAGGAGGCACAGGCCATCGAGGTGAAATAGTAGTCACAGTTCTCCTGGGACTTCCACGCTGGCTGGGAAATCATCAGGCAGTTACATGCAGGGGGATGTGGTAGGGGCTGAGCAGGGGTTGTGGGAGGGAGCCTACAGCAGGCACAACGCCTGGCTGAGGCATCAGGGCAGGCTTCCTGGAGGAGGAGACTTTGAGACCAAGGCCTGGATGACAAAGAGTTGAGGAAGCCAAGGACAATGGGAAAGGTGTGAAGCCAAGGGCAATGGGAAAGGTGTGAAAACAGCTTGGGGACAGCATGCCAGGCAGGGGCAGCATTGCAAAGTCACAGAAATGAGAGTGAGGATGGTATACTTAGGATGGTGGTGAGGATGAGGTGGTTAAGGACTGATGCTTTACCTAGTGGGTAATGGGGAGCCATTGAAGGCATTTGAGCAAGGGAGTCTCTTACTCAGATTTCTGTTTGTAGATGATTTGGGCCAGTGCTCTTTCTGCGATGAGGAAGTGAGAAGGACAGGGTGGGGGGGAGGAAATGGGGCAGAGGCTGTTCCCTAGAGTTCTGGGAGCCTGGCGGTGGCTCTCAGACTCAGGCACTTAGCTCAGTTGGAAGGTGGGAAGATGGTGCCTGTGTGACAGGGGTGGGTACCCTGGTTTGAGTCCTCACTTCTGAGCCTGGGTCATTAACTTGTACAGTGAAACCTCTCTCCAAGGGCCATGGATGCTGCTGAGTGGGAAAACAGATACATGCGCTTCCTATACAGAGGTCAGTTGTGTGCCCACCCAGCTCACCACCAGTCACAGGCAGGCATTTGAGAAGGGCTTTCGATGACAAGAAGGGTGGCGATCCGAGCCCCAGGATCAACACAGATTAGATAGGAAACCAATGCAGGGAGACATTTTCATGGCTAAGAAGAGAGTTTCAAGCTCTGGGAGGTGCGACTGACCTGGCACTCAGGGGCTGGTCACCGGGTAGTTCCCTCTGATGGCCCGCAGCGAGAGCTCGTACCCCAGGAACATGGCTGCGCTCATGGGGAAGCCCCGCACAGCATTCACCGTGATGCCTCTGAAAAACACCTGTGACAGGGGACGGCATTATCACAGGGGACTGACCGCACCTCTGCAGGGCCACACCGGAGGGCAGGGAGCGGGCTGGTGGTGATGCCTGCTCAGGCCCGTCTCAGGCTGGGCCCTGCAGAGCCAGAAGGACCTGTGCAGGCAAAGGCTGCCTGGAATGCCCAGCCATGCCCTGCCCTGACCCAGGTCATGCCGGATGGCACTTCTCCTGCCAGGCCTGGCCCACATGCACTGTGACAAAACTGTTGAGTCCTGTGAACACCCACATCTCCTTGCTTAATGGCTTCTTTCTCTTGTGAGCACACACTTACACACATGCACACACATGCGTGTGCACACATGATTTTCAGGAATCTGGAAGTCAGAACTCCCCCCTCCTCTTTGCAGTGGTGGACAGAGCACCAGCCCCAACCAATACGGTGACAGGTGCTTCCTGGGACATCCCCAGGGACCAGTGGGGAGAACTCAGGCCGTGTGAAGAGGGCAGACACAGAGTTGAGGCACAGCTGTGCCATTTAGTAGCTGTGCTATTTGGGCAAGTGGCAGCCTCTGGAATCTCAAAATTTCCAACTGTAAAACGGGGGTGATCATGCCATTGACCTAATACAGCTGTTGAGGGAATAAATGAGATGACGCTGTGGAGCACGGACACAGTGTTGACTAGCACATCACTATCCTTGTTACCTAAAGGCATCGCTTTGGACAGAGTGGCACCCAACCTCGATCATTAGTGTGAGTGCCTCAGGGTGGTGGCCTGTTGATGAGCCGCTAGCCTTGGCCTTAATACAAGAAGACTATGTTTGCCTTCCATCCCAGGGAATGCGATAAGGTGCTTTCCTTCCTCCCTGAATCCTCTTGCCTGGTGCAAGAAGACACTAATCGATGTGACCTAGTTCCAGCCCTCGGAAAGTTTATAACCTACTAAAGGAGCCAAGCCCCACTCAGGAATAATTACAACATCATGTAGAACGTGGTGAGAATAGATAAGGGCTTTGGTGAGCAGTGGGATGGAGAGGAACTATCCTTAAATGTCCTCCCTGGACAAAACATCTAAAGGCAAATTCCTATCCAAGCATAAATGACCCGGTAACTGTCAGGCATAAGATGCAACTCTGTCACCTGACTCCTGTATGATTTACTACGTTTATGAATTAGGGCTGGTATTGTAATTTTAAGAAAGTGGAAATCCAGCCCTTTGCATTCCCTGCTTGCTTAGTAGTCGGGCACTGTGGTGGCAGGTTAGGTGCAGGCCACTGACAGGACGTCAGGGGACCTTCCTTCAGGAGCGGTGCCTGCGTCTTGCCACTCTGTGGCAGCCTGGGAGATGCAGCTGGATGGGAAGGGGAGAGAGGGCTTGTGGACTTGGGAAGCCTGGGCCTCGGGGAAGGGAGCTGATGGACAGGATCCAAGAGGTGAGCAGGTGGCTCCTCCAAACCCCGGAGCAATTCAGGTAGCGGGCAAGTGGGATCCTCACGACATTAGCTCTCCTTTCTCATGTCTAACCTTTCTGGAATTCCACAGGCACACCCAGAGTGACTGAATAACAGCCAGGAACCGGGTCAGGCTCTGGAGGGAAATTCCATGCGAGGTGCCCCAGAGGCTCCCCTGCAAGGCAGGCCAGGCAGATCCTCCTGTCCCATAGCACTGGGCCCTGCAGGAGCCCTAGGCCACTTCAGACAGACAGACAGACAGACAGACACTCCCCCCTCCAACAGCTGCAGCCACTCTGCCTCTGCTCTGCGAGGCCGAAAGGTGGCTAACAAAACACACACCTTCTGGCTTTTACTGCAGCTCTCAGAACACAAAAAACACCGGGCTGAGTTGTTCCTCATGAAGCCTCAATGGCTCCCCACTGCCCAAGGTCAAGTGCACACCCTTCCCTGGCCTGTCAGGGCCCACACCCTCTGTTCCTGCTCTTTCCCTGGACTGCCTCTTACACCTCACACCTGTCACTCTGGGCAGTCTAAAAGCCTGTCCTTCCTCCTAAGGGACCAACTCTCTTCACCACTGGGCCTCTGCTGGAATGCTCCCAAATCTGGCTGCGCCCTCTAGTAGTCCTCCCAGGCCACCCCGTGCTGGACTATGGTCCCCTGCCTTCTGTGCACTCATCTCTCTGCTATCACAGCACTTCCCACACCCCTGCCAACTGCCCATCCTCTCATTAATAATCCCAGTAAGGGCAGTGGGAGCAGGGCTGTGTGTGTGGCTCATCTCTGAATCCCCAGCACCTGCACTGTGCTTGGCCTAGAGGATCCTCTATAGCAGCAGTCACCAACCTTTCGGACCTCACGGACCACCAGTGGTCTGTGGACCACCGGTTGCCGATCGCTGCTCTACAGATCTATTAAATGAATCAATGGATGGATGAGAGGAAGGAAGGAAGGAAGGAAGGAAGGAAGGAAGGAAGGAAGGAAGGAAGGAAGGAAGGACTCGTTGATACCAGAAGAATGGTTTCTGAGCTGAAAGAGTCCCAGTGTGATGTGATAGTGGGGGATTCCTGGAGTGGAGAGAAGGTTCCAGACCCTCCACATTGCAGACCCAAAGAGCAACCAACCCTGGTGCTTCAGGAAGCTTTCTACTACAAATGCTCCTCTCTGTCTCCCCTTAGAGTTAACCACTCTTGTCCTACTGTCCCAGATCCCTTCACAAGGACACCAAGTCACTCCTCCCGCATCCTATTTCAGATGACAGCTCTCCAAGTATGAGCCATGGCCCATGTGGCCCACAGCGATCCTCACAGCAGGCAGAAGATGGATCCAAAACTTGGTAATGCCCTGAACCATGGACTTCTAACCCCCATCATGAAGGCTGCTTTACCGCTAATCATTAAGAGAGTTACGAAAAGGGCTACTAACATTGAACACTGCCATCATTATTTTACTGCTTTCCAATTCTCTCTTACCACTGAGTTCTTCTCCCAGGGGAAAGTGGAAACAGCTTAGGGCTTTGTACACCCCTCAGTGAGCTGCAGTAAAAGTGTTTTGGAGGGGGTATTCCACAAAGCAGTGCCCAAGCCAAGTGGGACTGGAGCCATCCTTCAGGCCTGGGAAAAGGCGTTCCTCCTACTGCTACGAATATGACTGTGAGACAACCCAACCTCCCGGGACTGTGTGGGAATTTTTGCTACCATATGTTATTTATGTTACTTATATGCAAACTTACATACAAATATACATAAATATCCATACACATATATATGCATGCACAGGCTGGGAATATTTTTGGAATACATCACACGAAATAACAGTAATTGCCTTTGAGAAAGTACTGGGAACCACAGTGATATTTAGACAATATATCTTCTTATACCTTTTGAAACATCCTATGTTCATACATAACCTTTTTTAACCTTCTAATAAAAAATTTAAAACTTAACCTCAGTCAATGAGGTGATTAATCAAGCTGACTATGGCTATCTTTGCTTACCACCTACCTCTGACTATAACTATAAACCAAATGCAATTGAGATTTAAAAATTGATCATCTGGCCTTAGTTGCCCTCAAGGACTTTTTTTATTTTTTTTATTTTTTACTGAGCACCATAATTTCTGGAGAAAATAATATCAGCAATATATTTTGCCTCTACAGGCATTTTTAGAATTGTGACATTAATATTTCAGATAACAGAAAAAAATATCTCATATAAAAACAGAACATCCCCATTTGAATCTCTCTTATGTGTACTTGTTGTTTGAATCACAAACTGTGCTTCTGCCAAAAAAAGAAAAGACAATTGAGGTGAGAATTCTAGGAAGATGGCAGAGCAGGAAACACAGGAATCCGCCTCCCCACCTACACAACAATTGTACAAGCAGAATCTGTCTGATTTTGGAATTCTGGAGTTTACTGAAGGTTTGGACAGTAAATTGTGATTAATTTCAACTCTTAGCTCGGTGGCAGCTACCCACCCTCCACCCAAGCCCTGAGGCAGGAAGCTGTGCACTGTTCTTGGAGCACCTGCACACAGCTTGTGGGAGCCAGGATAGGCAATAAGGACCCAGCCCCCCCACCCCAATATCGAAGCTGGTTCTGATCACTGATTGCTGTTTCTAGTCAGAGAGGTACCATTGTTGTTTCACCCAACCCACCCTCCATTGATACAAGCCCCTCCCCCTCTGGCTGAAGGGACTTCCTGGGGACTTAAAGGGCTAATGCCCTTCCCCCTTCATTTTTCTCTTTTTCCCCTTAAAGATTAGGACATTCAAAAGCAACTGCATGTTTGGGGAAAATCAGAAAGTGACTGAACGTGCCCAGGGAAAGCTGCGGCTCAGAAAGGACCCGGAAGGATCTGCATTCACACCTGATCCTGGGCACAGAGACAGCCTGCAGCAACCAGAAAAACAAAACAATAAACAGAGACAATGACAACAAACACTAAGCCCTTGGAAAAGGGAAGAATCTGATTTCCAGAGTTACCTCATTACTGTATTAGATTCAGAAGTCTAGTTTTTAACCAAAAAAAAAAAAAAATCACAAGGCATTCAAAAATAAATAAATCAGCAGAAACTGTTCCTGAAAAAGACCTGATAGCAGAACTACTTGACAAAAACTTTAAAACAACTGTCTTATAGATGCTTGAAGAACTGAAGGAAGATGTGGAAAAAGTCAAGAAAATGATACATGAATGAAATTGAAATATCAGTGAAGAAACAAAAAACTCAGAAAGAAACCAAACAGAAATTCTGGAACTAAAAAGTACAATATCTGAAATTTAAAATTCACTAAAAGGATTCAAAGGCATATTTTAACAAACAGAAGAATCAGCAAACTTGAACGTAAGACAATGAAAAGTATTGAGGCCAAGGAACAGAAAAGAAAAAGGTTGAAGAAAAGTGAACAGAGACTAAGGGACCTGTAGGAAATTCTGAAGCCAGTCAACATATGCTTTGTGAGAGTCCCAGAGGAGAAGAGAGAAAAGGGCAGAGAGAATATTTGAAGTAATACTAGCTGAAAACTTCCTAAGTCTGATGAAAGACATGAATATAAACATCAAAGTCTCTCAATAAATTCCAAGTAGGATGAACTCAAAGAGACCCATACCAAGACACAAATAAACTTTTTAAAGACAAAGAAATAATCTTGAAAGCAGCAAGAGAGAAGCAACTCACTGGACAAAGGATACTCAGGAAGATAATTTTAGAGGCCAGAAGACAATGGGACAATATATTCAAAGCACTAAAAGAAAAAAAAGTAGTCAGTTGGGAATCCCATATCAGCACCACTATCCAATCCTACAAGAGTGAGGGAGAAATTAAAACATTCCCAGATAAACAAAAGCTGAGGGAGATCATTACCACTAGACCCATTCTGTAAGAAGTGCTCAACAGAGTCCTTCAGGGTGAAATGAAATGACATTGGACAGTGAAGAAATTAAGACCTCAATAAAGGAAAATGCATAGGGAGAGTGATGTCAGCATCGCAGCAGCACAAGACATTCCTTGCTTGGTCCCCACCTCAACAACAAAAATTCGGCATCCATCCATGAACAGAAGTGCCTCTGTGGGAGTCGAGGGACTCAGCACCATACACCAAGGGACCCAAGAGCAGTGGGTCCCATTTGTACATCAGGTAATAGGCAGACAGACCTCAGTACTGGCAGTGGAGCCTGCAGGACCTGTGACCTGGCTCCAGCCCCTGTTGGCCATGGTCCACGAGCACCTGGAGAATTCTGACTCGGGCAGTCTCCCACAGATGAGACGGCCTTTGTGGAAGTCCAGGTTTTGAGAGGAGAAGTTCCAGTGCTCCATTGGAGCAAAACAAATAAAAGTTTGGATGCATTGGAGTGGGCAATTAGTAACTACTGGAGGGCTTGGGACAAGGCAGCTACATGAAAAAAAAAGTCCAGAGATCAGTAGTAACATTTAAACTAATAAAACCCCTAACACTAATGCCAATGACAAATGAATAACTTTTTCTAAATGTTCTCTATGTGTGATGCATTAAGCTAAGCACTTTTTTTATGCGCCATTTAATTTAACCCACAAATATCCCTGTTGTTCATGGTAGGAATGGTTATCCTTGGAGAAACTGAGGCCCATAGAGGTGAAGCAACTTGTGTGGATTCCTCCAGCTCACAAGTAACCAAGCTTAGCTTGGAACTCAAATCTTCTGATTCTAAGAGGCATGTCAAGAGAATCGGGGGCCTATTTGCGGGAGAGCAGACAAGACTGTTTCTTTGGAGGGTGCTCAGAGGGTCAGGGGAGGCAAGATAGACAGGGATGAATTTATTTATAACCTTGGGTGCCAGGTGCGGAAGTCTGGTCTTCATTCTGGGACAGTTTAGAGGCAGGAAGGGGCTTGGGTTTAGGACAAGACCCTTGGGTGCAGGGAGGAGAAGCGAGGAGGAGGGAGATGAGGCCTGGTTGGAGGCTGCCTCGAGAGTTGAGACCAGGGGGGATGGGGTCTGTACTTGCGTGGGCGGGGGAGTTGAAGACAGATCGGCAGCTGGAACCTGTGAGACGTGATAACTGAGGTGGTTCTGGGACTTCCCACTTGGACGGGGGAGGGGAAGGCTCTGAGCAATGAGTATGGAAGGACCTCTAGCCCAGCGGTTCTCAACCTGTGGGTCGCAACCCCTTTGGCGGTCGAACGACCCTTTCACAGGGATCGCCTAAGACCATCCTGCATATCAGATATTTACATGACGATTCATAACAGTAGCAACATTACAGTTATGATGTAGCAATGAAAGTAATTTTATGGTTGGGTCAGAACATGAGGAACTGTATTTAAAGGGCCAGAAGGTTGAGAACCACTGCTCTATCCTATCTCAATAAGAAGGCAAGCGTTGGTGACACACAGATGTGGGTCTGGGTCCCGGTTCTGCCATGCAGCAGCTGTTTGACCTCAGGTGGGTTCCTAGTCCTCTTCGAACCTCTGTCAGGTGGGGTGTACACCCACCTCCTCCACCAGCCCGGGGCAAGGACCAGATGAGACAAGTTTCTCTTGGAGTGCTTGATAAATGGTAACCACCTGCACCTCAGTTTCCCTTCTCTAGACTCTCACATGCCCCCCAGCGTGTGACCCGCCTTCTAGGAACGGAACTGACCCGCTGGGTTATTGTGTAAACACAAAAACTAGCACATTCTTGGATGGGAGAGAAAAACAAACTTGTGCCAACGTTCCAAGTACTGCTGTGGGCTTACTTTAAGGCCGTCCTTCTGGTAACTCTGGGAGATACAGTCCAGGACACCTTTGTATTTGTTTAAATAAACCCCATCGGCCTGGAGTCGACTTTTCACAACATCCATAGGAGTCGCTGTCCCCCAAGAAATTGCTCCTGTAAAGAGAGAGACAAACAGGAGTCAGGGGCTGGCTGGTTGGGGTCTGGAGGGGACCCTGCAGCTTCCTGCCACTCAGAAGCTTAGTCAGCTGCTGAGGGAAGTGGAAAAGTTCAGGGCCGGGCCCGTAAGGGCTGTTCCTGAGCCTCCCTTGAGACGTGCTGTGGGACTTCACAGAATTATCCTACCCTGCAGGCCTTGGTTTGTCATCTGTAAAATGGGGCAGCAGTACCTGTCTTCATGGGGTTGCTATGAGGATAAATAAACAGATGCATGTGAGGCATTTAGTGCAGTGCCAGACGCATAGCTTCGTAGGCGGAAGCCTTTCTTAGCAGCTTTTATTGGAGAAACAGGAACAGGCTCACCAGTGCTTGCAGCACCTTTCCAGGCGCCAGGGGAGGCCCAGGCTGAGTCTGAGGAGGAGGGCTCACAGCTCCCCAGAGGCAGGATCTACCCTGAACACACAGAAGCTAAACAAGCACTGGCCAGCCTGGGGATTGGAAAGAAAAGCAGGAGCAGGTCTTTAAAAAGCTCTTATCTCTTCCAGGTATTTGGAATAAAAGTCTTAGGACCTCACGCCCTGGCTCATCCTGGTTGGATATGCTCAGGTGCCCCGGTTTGGGCGCTTTTGTGACTTTCAGGGACTCTGGGAAAACAACACCGAGTTATTGTGTAAACACAAAAACTAGCACATTCTTGGATGGGGAGAGAAAAACAAACCCTGTGCCAAAGTTCAGGGCAGCTGGTTTGCAAGTTTTGTAATTGCTGCCAAGAGGCTCCCCAAAGAGGCCTTTTCCTGCCCCAAACTCTGCTCATCCCGGCCTCCCTCCCGCCCCTGTGGCCACGGTGTCAGGGCGCCCTCTGCACCTCTCTTTCCTGCCTCAGGTCAGGATAACAGGCCACTCCCCCTGGCACACTCCCTGTCCCTCAGCCCAAGGGCGAGGGTACTACAGATGGAGGTTGCCTGCCAGGCCACGCACACCTGCTCTCACCAGAAATGAGAGCAGGTGGGGCTTTGTTTGTCCTCAGCCAGCTTCCTGAGCACATACAGGGAGTGGCCAGCCTCAGGCAATGGGGCGGAGGGGGCAGTGGGAGTGAGGGAAAACACTGGTGTTTGGGCTTTGTTATGTGCTGGCAGTTTCACACACAGCTCATTATGATGAGGAGGAAAGACAATTTTCTTCTCTCCGCAGCAAAGGCCATGTTATCAGCCTCTTACAAAGCATTCTCCATGTTCAATATTGACCAATGTCACCCCAATTCATTTAATAAATAAATAAAAGCATTCTCTCCTGACCCCCACGCCCCTCTAGCCATGCTGCACTTCTCTCTGCCCTGGTAGAGCACAGTCAAGTCCCTCCCAGGTGCTGGGTTCTCCAATTTCCTTTATCCCACCCTCTCAATCCCACTCCAATCAGGTTGCCACACCTTCTCTTGACCAAAATGGGGCTTGTCAAAGTGCCTGGTGGCCTATATACCTCACAGAGGTCCTTGGTGGGAAAGAGCCAGGGCAGCCCGCAGCACAGAGACCAGTGGGGCTGGAGCCCAGCAAGCGGACCCGGGAGCAGAGAATGAGTGCAGACGGGTAACAGGCAGCCCGGTCACAGAGGGCCTTAAACACCGCTGCAAGGACACCTACCCTACGTGACAGGGGGATGCAGTGTGAGTTCTGAGTAGGGAGGTTAAGTTCTGGTCCATGGTCACGAAACGAGTAAGTGGGGATTTGCTCTTGGATCTTTCTGAGGCGGAGTCCCTGCTGAGGTCTGCACTGGCTGTGTGACCTTGGGCTGGCACTTAATTTCTCTGAATCTGAACTTTCTCATCCTAAAAAATGGGGAGACCGATTCCTACCTTCTGGAGGTAATGAAATCCCCACACGAGGGAGGTTTATAGTGTGCCAATATTAAAATATGGTGAACCGTAATAACCAATTTCCTCTGAAAAGCTCAGTAACACCTGACACAGAGTAAGTGCTCAAAATGTATCTTCTGACTGAAAGTTCAATGAGCCCAAATAGGGACTTGCCATCCCCACAGGTCCAGTGGAGAGGAGATGGAAGAAAGGGAGGACCATTCTGCATTCCTAGTCCTTTCTCTGGCACATAGTAGGTATTTACATGGAATTGTTGGATGAGGGATGAGTAGAGCATGGTAGGCCCCCCAGCTGTCCCACTGCGGTGGCCAGCACAGGGACGGGTATCAACACTGCTGTCTTACCTGCCACGCCACCTGCCAGCCACACAGCATAGGGGCTGGGGTCTGCACAGGCCTCAGGGGTGATCCAGTCGGTCAGGAACACATAGGGGACAAAGTAGAGACAATAGCCCGGGACGTCCCTCAGCAGCATGGCACCGGCACCCCGGTAGAGCCCCGCCAGGCCCTCCGTCCGCACGATGGTTGCAATGCAATGCACAGGCCCCTGGTAGGCTGGCTGCTCCCCGAGAGCCACTGCCCTGTTCTTCAAACTGAGGCTGGCTGCAAAGACAGGGCAGGTAAGATAACAAGTGACCCAGGGGGCAAGAGACTGGCCATTCTCTGGCACTAGAGCCAGCCCAGCCCACTGACGATTCCCTCTCAGGTGGCCCACTGGATTTTACCAAACCTCTAACCTTCTTGGCAGCTCAAACCAGGATTCTGGAATCCCAACAGAGAGCCCTGCCAACATGAGCAGCCAGATTGGAGACAATCTATCCAGGTGATAAAGTACCAGTTGCCTTAGAATGTTCAGGGGCTGCTGGTCAACCATCACTATGTCTCTCTAACAGATGTGACTGTAGAATGCCTAGGATCAACTATGAGAAGGCATACCAAGCTCTTTCTTGAATCAGAGACTGGAAAATCCAGCACATTATGCGTGTGTATGTGTGTGTGTGCGTGCATGTGTGTGTGCGCTTGTGTGTACTTGTGGTAAAAAAGTACACGAGTCCTGGCCGAGTGGTTCAGTTGGTTGGAGCTTCGTCCTGTACACCAAAAGGTTGTGGGTTTGATTCCTGGTCAGGGCACATACCTAGGTTGTGGTCTGATCCCAAGTTGGGGCATGGATGGAAGGCAACTGATCAGTGTTTCTCTCTTTTTCTAAAAAATCAATAAAAAGCATATTTCTAAAAAAGTACATGAGATTTGGACCCAGTTCCAAATCCTGGCCCCACCACTTAGAAATATTAGGTCCTTGATAGGCCACCCTTTCCAGCCTGTGTTTCCTTATCTTTATAAAGAAGACAGTATTGTACCCTTTATACAGAATACAATACTGCATTGTATATTGAAAGTTGCTAAGAGAGATTTTAAAAGTTCCCACCATATACACACCCACAAAATGGTAACTGTGTGAGGTGATGGGCGTGTTAACTAACCTAAACTTGGTAATCATTTGCACTATACACATATATCAAATCACATTGTATACCTTAAACTCACACCATGTTTACATTAATTATCAATAAAGCTGAAAAATATTTGTTCATAAAAGAAAAGGAGCACAGACTTTTGTGAGTATAAATAAGGCAGTAACTATAAAGTTCTCAGCACGGTTCTAGGAACATTGTGGAGGTGCAGTAGATGGCCGACAGGTTATTACTAAGACCGAGGTTGACTGGCACACATCAGGTGCAGGCTGTGCCGGCTGGAGGGCTGGACAGTGCTCCCTGGTGCCATTGGCCCCTCCAAGTCCAGAGCACAGGGCCGCTGTCTCCTTGTCTGACTTCCAGGGTCAGGTCACAGGTTGTATGTCTAGCTTCTTCTAGGGGTATGCGTAGCCACCAAGCAGTGACTCTAGCTCTCAGATTTAATCCTTCCACCGGCTCCCCGGCTCCATCTCTGATGTTCATCTCTGCTACGGACCCTTTAGCACAGCTTTGACTCATGGCCAGAGAGACCTCCCTGTCCCCATGCAGGTAAAGCAGACTTAGTCTCATCTTGTTCCCATTTTAAAGAACTACCATGACATGCCTAGGAAGGAAGCTTGCCTATTTTGCCACCACGCCTATTTTGCCACCAGGGTTTAACTCCCAGAATGCACCATTTCTGATTTTCCACATCTGGCAAAGAGGAACATCAGTTTCATTATACAGTTGAACTTCCAAGTTCCCCAAATAGTTCCATCTTTATTAGAGGAAAGGTCAGGACAAGACATTCGGCTCCATGGTGCCGCGGTCCAAACTGGAGATTTGGGGGTAAAGTGCAACCTGTCCTTTCACGCATCCCAGAGTAAGAGAGGTCAAGGAGGAGGTTTCCATTTTCCTAGGAAATGTGCTTGAAAAAACGAATCCTGCATTTTCCTTTTGTGGGGTGGGGAGTGGGGACGAGCACCCACAGCCACACACGTTCAGACAACTGCAGTGTGGGCAGGAGACTGAGTCCCACTCACTTCTACAGCCGATCCCACAGGAAGTGAGTTACTTTTAGTGGCCACTTTTGGGGGGCACAGGGCCCTCTGAGCTCAGAGCAAGATCAGACACTGTGGTCTTTTAAAGCCCACTGAGACGTCACTGGACACCCCTTCCTCTCCCAAATCTACCATAACACGGCTGGGGTCATCCGGGGATATTTTGGCAGGAGACAAACTAGATGTAATTGTCCCGACATAAACTTTGCCTGGCCACTCAAGTCCAAGTGCAGTGATCTGAGTAAGAGTTTTAATGAATCAGCGATGGAAATGAGGTGGCTTTCTGAAGTTACTGATTGAAGGAGCGCGCCTGATAACATCCTGCTGATTCAGAGGATGGATGTTGAAAACAGTATTTGCCCAACCTCCAACTGGCCCTGGGGATAGAGAACCCGAACTTTCCTTTTCTTTCCAGAGTGAGCAATAAGGAAATCCTCCCCAGTTCTCCCAGGTTTGTTACACAAGCAATCTAGCTTTTATTGCTTGAGTATGATCCACTGATGACTATTAAAGCAGTAAAATTATCATGGTGATGACCATCATCTGAATACTGACTCGAGCCTGAACTGGCGGCCAGTGCCTTCTGGGCACAAGTTGATACTGCGAAGGCCTTGGGACTCCACCAGACTCCCTCATCCCCATGTAATAACAAGTGTTGTTTAAAAAAACAAAAGACTTTTTATTCGAAAAAAAATTTTCAAATTTGAAAAAAAAAAACAAAAAAGAAAAAATTGTATAAAGAACACCCTTAATATTCACTATCCAGATTCGCCTGTTGTTAACATTTATTTTATGGTTTGCGCACTCTCCTCCCCCCACCCCTTCTCCCTCAAACATGCTCATGCAATGACTGAGCAGCTGCCACTGTCCCCGTGCCTAAACCTGTCTGGGCTGTTCGTCTCCAGGCAACAGTGACCTGACCTGGGGTCAAGGTTTCACACGTCAGCTATGGGTATGATGTGGGTTTCAGGACTTACAGATTGAAGGGCAGAATCTGATAAGGTCCTCCTTGTCTGAAGGTGTCAATGTTGGGAAAACACTTGCCAAACCTTGAACCAGCCTTGTGAACAAGACCCAAACCTGCACTTCTTTTCGTTTTCCCCAAGGTAAGCAATAGGAAATTCTTTATATATGCATGCATATATAGTTTTATATTCTGAACCATTTTAGGGTGAATTATATACAAAATGCCCTTTACCCTTAAATACTTCATGTATTTTCTAAGAATAGGGTGTTGTCTTACATACCATAGTGCAGTTATTGGTTTCATAACCTACGTTGACAATATATCTAATTGGTTTCATAACCTACGTTGACAATATATCTAATATGCCATCTATGTTCACATTGTATTTGACCTCATAATGACCTTTATAGCATCCCTCTCCTTCCCCAGCACAGAATCCAGTCTACTCAGGTGTTGCATTTAGTCATCGTGTATCTTTAGCTTCCTTTAATCTGGAGCCTTTCCACAACCTTTCTTTGTCTTTATGACACTGACATTTTTTTTGAGAACTCACTGCCCCCCTTCTTGTAAACAGAACTTTCCTCATTTGGGGTTTGTTTGATGTTTCCTTGTTATTGTGTTGAGGTTATGAGTTCCTGGCCCAGCCTCCTCCCCATTCTCACTTCTTGTCCCATGAAGAGTAATCACTTTCAAGAGCCTTCTCTGGCCTCCTATGCTTGTTTTGCAGTTTGTTTTTTAATTGAGGTATACTTTACATTCAATTAAAGGTATAGCTATTAAGTGCACAAAAGGAGAGTTTTGACAAGGGCCACTACACCCTACTGAGAAGATGACATCTTATACTTAAACGATTTTGGTTTCAGCCCACTCAGGCAGTGCAAAAATTCCAGATCTACCTACCCTCTCCCGCTTTTCAAGGTAAAGAACTCTGCCCATCCACATGTCACTCAATGAGAAGCATAGCTTTCTTTTAGGCGATGGTCGTTCCGGCCCATCTGCATTAGCAGTAGTGGTATGGACGATTCATCTGGGGCCACAAAGCAGAAACTGCTATCAGTTGCTCAGAACACAAGATGCTCTATGGCTGGGGCAGGGAGGTGTGGCCCTGAGAGGTAAAACCGGGGAGCCTTGACAGCTAGACATAGAAAAGCACTGAGTGAGAGTTCTGGGTAACGCTAGCAGTGGACGAATTTTAGTTTGTGAAAAACAAGTTTTGATCCCTAAAAACTGACGTGGGAGGTTGCTGGCAAGCAGTTCTTGGAAATATGCACAACTGAATTCCATGGCCTCCCCTGTCATTCCTGCAAGGACCCCGAGGAAGGAGGCCAGGTGCTGAACCAGTGCCATGTGTCTTCACTTAACACCATAGATAGCCCGGCCGGCATGGCTCAGTGGTTGAGCGTTGACCTATGAACCAGGAGGTCATAGTTTGATTCCTGATCAGGGCATGTGCCCGGTTTGCAGGCTTGATCCCCAGTGGGAACATGCAGGAGGCAGTCAATCAATGATTCTCTCTCATGATTGATGCTTCTACCTCTCTCTCCCTCTCCCTTCTTCTCTGAAATCAATAAAAATATTAAAAATTAAAATTAAAAAACAAAACACCATTGATAGGCTCCTGTGACTCTAAGCAAAATGATATGTAAAGAAACTACTTTGCCACAAGCTAATTGATATAAACAAGAGTTAAGTTCCGACAGCATGTTTCCGGTCACAAAAACTTCTTCAAACTTCTAAATAAGTAATCAAAACACTTCTAATATTAAACATTGAAATAAATGTGAGCTATATGCACATTTAAGAAAGATTCATAGAAAACAAGAAAAAGAATTATTTTCCAACCCGTTTATTCCAATTCAGGATTTCAGGTGGCCAGAGCCTCTCCTAGCAGCTCAGGGTGTGGCATGACCCACACTGGACAGACACACACACACACACACACACACACACACACACACACTCAGACTGGAACAACTTAGACACGACAATTCACCTACCATTGGGATGTGCAAGGAAACCTGAGGACCCAGAGAAAAGCCACGCAGGCATGGGAAGAATGTGCAACTCCATACAGACAGTGGCTCCTGCCTGGAATTGATTTTTCTCATCGTTGTTATAAAATGA